GCAAAACAAGACGCATTCCTCCGACGGTCAGATCATCGACCACAAACTAAAACTGTGATCGCCGCTTTTTCTGTACTGCGTGCATTGCTTGTGACTTTAATTACTTTGTCTTCTAGGCTAAGGTGAGTCCGGCATAGATTATTGTCCCTCCCAGTACGACAGATGCCTTCATCGTCACTACTGCGTGTCAGCGTAAACGTGAAAGTCCACAATCCTTCAATTAGGAAGTAGTTGTCATGATATGCGCGGTAGGTTCATCTGGTGCGCGATGTTTGTGAGTTTGTGCTGTGCCGTACGCCGACGAAGATGACGATGAGACAAGGAAAAGGCGGAATCGTGTCGTCAAAGTCAAGCCAAGCCATGGGGAGAGAGAAGAGGAAGACGACGACGGGGCGTTGGAGAAGAAGGATCGGAACGAAACAGTGGCAGGCTGAAGCGCTCGTCGGGTCGTGGTCCCGAAGCCTACCTGTGCCTGTGGTCCGCACGAGCCTGGCTCCCTTCTACCGTGTGATCCAGCAGCCGGCGCCGGTCCGTTGTACTCGGATCCGGGCGTTTTCCAGACCTGGGCCTACTACTGGCTGTCCGGGACGTGCTTGCCACACATCGGCTCTGCCTCACGCTCCGCTCCGACCATGCCTGAGGCATCGCTGATGTCGGCGTAAGACGCAACGCAACGCATCGACTCATCTGCCTTCGACGTCACACGGTGAAGTGTTTCAAACCTTGTGTAGTGCAGTGGGGGACTACGCTAAGCGTCAGACCTTGTCTTTCGAGAACGTGTGTCGTGCTCGTACTTAAGGCAGTTCTTCGCTGTTGCCATGTAACACGCCAAGCTTCTTTATCGTTTTTTTCTTTTTTTCGTGGCATTAAAGCCTTATTTCTCAAGTTGCAAATGTCTTCGTCAGTCTCGACAACGATTATTTAAGTTGCCGTGATTGCCCGAACCTTATCCCTCACAATTGGCGTCCGCGCGACAGGACGAAGCCGTTTGCACTGGGTTGAAATCTATAGGGAAGATGAGTGAGCAAGAGCTTATAACGCTAGCGGAACGCATGGGGCTTCAAGGAGCCGAGCTAAAGACGTGGGTAGACGCGCGGTTAGAGCGCTCATGAGGAATCTGTGCAAGCGCGTGAAGAGCGTTCCGCGGAAAGGCAGGCGGCGAAGGAACGTTTGGAGATAGAAGAGAGAACTCTTCAACTGCGAATTCGACTAGCTGAGGTTGAAGGTAGCCGAGAGCCAACAGCGCGGGACCGCGAACCTGAGAGGAGTCAAAGCCGCCCGTGCTTGATCAATCCTCACAACCTGATTCTAGTGTTTGACGAGGGGCGTGACGATCTCGATGCGTATCTCAAGAGGTTCGAACGCGTAGCAGTTGGTCAAGAGTGGCCTGAGGAGAAGTGGGCGACAGCGCTTAGTTTATGCCTCAGTGGGGAAGCATTGAAAGTCTTCGGTCGTCTGTCGCCAGAAGACTCAATGGATTACCAGAGTACGAAAGTGGCCTTGCTCCAGAGGTTTCGTTTCACAGCTGAAGGCTATCGCGAAAAGTTTCGGCAAAGCAAGCCTGAAGACGGCGAAACTGGTAAACAGTACGCCACGAGATTACAGAGTTACTTCGATAGATGGCTGGAAATGTCGGAAACGGACGAGGACTTTGCATCCGTGCGCAACCTCATTGTAGCTGAGCAGTTTCTGAATAACTGCCACGATCGCCTGGCACTTTTTCTAAGGGAGAAGAAATGCAGGACGGTAAAAAAAATGGCAGAAGCAGCTGATACCTTCTTGGAAGCCCAGCGGCAAACAAACTTGTTGGTATTTCGTACCAAGTCTGCAAACAACATTCCCAAGGAGCAAGAAGGAGTTACTTATACCCAGCCTCCTCTTAGATGTTTCGTCTGTGATCGACCCGGCCACAGAGCATCTGATTGCCGCACGAAACCCCAACGAGCCTTCTGTGGGCACTGTCGGAAGCCCGGCCACGATGCAAGAGCATGCCCAAGCAACGGCGGGTCAAAGAAAATGACATCTTGCATCGTGTCTACTGACCAGAAGTCCGAGACGCCCCGATGTGCCAATGATTCATCACAAGATGAATATGTTGCTAGTGCACTCCGAACGCGCACCGCAACAGCTACACGAAACTTGCCGGTGTTACAGGGAGAAGTGTTTGGACATACTGTATCAGTCTTGAGGGATACTGGAAGCAACACCCTGGTCGTGCGATGTTCCCTCGTTCCCGATGATGCGCTGACGGGTACTACCGCCACTATTTTATTGGCCGATGGTAGTTGCATCGAGGTACCGGAAGCAGAAGTACGGATTCTATCGCCCTATTTCACCGGAAATGCGATATAGTCAAATGCATGACGTCGCCACTTTACGATGTCATCGTAGGAAATGTTCCCGGCGCCCGTGACGCTAATGATCCCGACTCAACGTGGAAGGAGTCAGCGAGCCTGAAGTCGGAAACTAATCAGGCATTGAATTCTAAAGAGAAATCCAAGGATGGATGCGGGACGAAGAGCACAGTCATGGTTGGTGTTTCAAGCAAAGGACATCGCCGGAAGCTCACGACTGCTAAATTTGGAAACTTAGAGGTGACACAGGAGTCATTTCGCCAAAAACAAGAGGAAGACCGGTCGCTGGATGTTTGTAGGGCGAAAGTCGACACCCTCATCCGCGGTAAAGGAGCCACATACCACTCATTTATGTTCGAGAAAGGAATCTTGTACCGCGTTTACCACTTGACTCCGGGCAAATCAGTTCAACAAGCGGTGGTTCCAAAGGCGTTGCGTGTCCATGTGTTGCACTTGGCACATGAATCACCGATATCTGGTCACCAGGGTATCAAGAAGACGAAGGACCGAGTTTTGGAGTCGTTTTATTGGCTCGGTGTACAGGAGGAGGTACGAAGATTCGTAAAATCATGCGACGCATGCCAAAGGACATATCCCAAAGGCAAAGTAGGCAAGGCGCCTCTTGGACGAATGCCTTTGACTGACACGCCATTCGAACGTGTGGCCGTTGATATCATTGGACCTCTGACGCCGATTTCAAAGAAGGGTAATCGGTACATTCTTACCCTTGTGGATTTCGCCACTCGGTACCCGGACGCGGTGGCTTTGCCCGCAATTGATTCGGCAACAGTAGCAGATGGACTACTGGAGATGTTCTCTCGAATAGGATTTCCACGGGAGATCCTCTGATCAAGCATCTTGCTTCACGTCAGGCCTGATGGAAGAGGTGAATGCTCTGCTTGCTATTCGACATTTGAGCTCGACGCCTTACCACCCGATATGCAATGGCTTGGTCGAAAGGTTCAACGGCACTTTGAAACAGATGTTGCGCAGGTTGTGCCAAGAGAAGCCGAAGTCATGGGACCGATTTCTTGCGCCTCTGTTATTCGCCTATCGAGAAGTACCTCAGGCCAGTATGGGCTTCTCGCCGTTTGAACTGATCTACGGACGGCACGTCCGAGGACCCCTGGATATATTGAAGGAACTCTGGACAGGGGAAGACCTAGAGGAAGATATCAAGACTACTTACGGATACGTGCTTGATCTGAGAGAACGTCTTGAACGCACCTTGAAGCTGGCTCAAGAGAATCTCTCCCGAGCTCAACACTCGCAAAAGAAGTATTATGACCGAACCTCCAAAACCAGACAGCTCAAAGTTGGTGACCGGGCTCTTATATTGCTCCCAACCAGGGAAAACAAGCTTCTTATGCACTGGAAGGGGCCATTTCCGGTTACAGGAAAAAAGAATGACCACGACTATTGGTTGGACCTTGGGCACACCACGAAAATGTTTCACATAAACATGCTCAAGCGCTACGAAGAACGTAGGTGCTGATTATATGAGCAGGCTACAGGTGTAGGTGCTAGCTATACCACAGTAATGTAATAATGTACCATATGCCTAGGGACTCTCACGTACAGACTATTCTCTTGGTGCAACAGTTCTGTACATTTGTTTGTCGTAAGTCTTGTCTCCCGCGCACTTTGGACAGTTTTTAAAAAAAAAAAAAACTTTTGAAAGGGGGGACTTTTGTCATGATATGCGCGGTAGGTTCATCTGGTGCGCGATGTTTGTGAGTTTGTGCTGTGCCGTACGCCGACGAAGATGACGATGAGACAAGGAAAAGGCGGAATCGTGTCGTCAAAGTCAAGCCAAGCCATGGGGAGAGAGAAGAGGAAGACGACGACGGGGCGTTGGAGAAGAAGGATCGGAACGAAACAGTGGCAGGCTGAAGCGCTCGTCGGGTCGTGGTCCCGAAGCCTACCTGTGCCTGTGGTCCGCACGAGCCTGGCTCCCTTCTACCGTGTGATCCAGCAGCCGGCGCCGGTCCGTTGTACTCGGATCCGGGCGTTTTCCAGACCTGGGCCTACTACTGGCTGTCCGGGACGTGCTTGCCACACATCGACTCTGCCTCACGCTCCGCTCCGACCATGCCTGAGGCATCGCTGATGTCGGCGTAAGACGCAACGCAACGCATCGACTCATCTGCCTTCGACGTCACACGGTGAAGTGTTTCAAACCTTGTGTAGTGCAGTGGGGGACTACGCTAAGCGTCAGACCTTGTCTTTCGAGAACGTGTGTCGTGCTCGTACTTAAGGCAGTTCTTCGCTGTTGCCATGTAACACGCCAAGCTTCTTTATCGTTTTTTTCTTTTTTTCGTGGCATTAAAGCCTTATAACTCAAGTTGCAAATGTCTTCGTCAGTCTCGACAACGATTATTTAAGTTGCCGTGATTGCCCGAACCTTATCCCTCACAGTAGTACCGCCAAAAAGACGCGAGGGACAACTTACTACGAGCTCTAGTAAGGATGCATTTCATATTGAAGCCTATTCGAGATGACAGCATCTTCATTGCACAACTGAAAAACCGTAATTCTTAATTGTCGTGAGTTATATATCGAGACCACAGCAACTCAAATGCACTTGCTGTAATAAACACTGTTGCAGAGTATTTTGCAGGCATAAAAATCGACATCCCAGCTCACCTGAATTGGTCCGCTTTCAATGCCTCGGGAATTTCCCGCTCTGGTGTGTACGCATTGTTGAAAGGCTGCAGGAAACAAAATGTGCACTGAGAGGCATGGCCCCAAAAGCTAAGTTTTATTCATATAGTGTTCATGCAGGTGACCTCGCAAAGGAATCATTCGATATCGACACCTTGAATCAACCTTGGACCCAAAGAAGATCTCGCTAAGCGTTCCAGTGTCTCTGACGAAAAAACAGAGCAGAAGTTCATAATAAAACCTTAGGATTTACGTCACATTATCGCGGTAAGCTTACACCTACAATTTTTCTTCCCATCGCTCGCTGTGTCATCCTAAGTTTAAGGTGAAACCTCTTTGTAGGGCTCTGTGTTTCTGAATCAGAGGTAAGTACCGGCAAGATGCAGCTCTTACATACCTTCCTCTTGAGAAATTTTTGTAACCTTCCCCTTCTCATTGCATCAAAGCACAGCCTACAGATAGCCAGTTAAACCTGCATAAAGAGCTACATGAGCTTATAAAGGGTGAGTTAAGCCTAGGAAAGCAAAGTTGAGCCGTAGAAAATTGAGCCGGGCCTCTAGTTTGAGTGCAAAGTCCTTCACGAACCCGGTTTGTCAATCCATCTCATGTGACCGCTCACCATGAAGTTCCGGCGACAGACGCTAACAAAATTGGAAATATTATTTTAAGCCTGGAGTTCCTTAACGTGACCTCTATTTGAAGCACACGGCCCTCAAGCATATTGCCTTCATCGCAAATGCGGTCGCCGCAGCCGAGATTCGATCATACAACGTGTGGGACAGCAGTAGAGTGTCTTAACAACTAGGCCACCATGACGGGGTAAAAAGCTTAGAGATAGTCGAAACTGCGTTGTTATAAGAAACTCAGGTTCTGAAGTGTTATGAGTACGAGAAATAAATAAGAAGTAATCGCAATTACTAATATAAAATTGCTGAAGACGCGTTTCGTACACAAGGAGAAGAGGGCGCCACCACCTCGCTTAGCGAGTGAATGCCCACTCCTTCTGCCCTATTCTCCTTGCAGGCGAGCACGTGCCTATGGTAGCTGTAAGTGGCTCGTGCCGAAGCATCCGTGACAAGCAGGAAATATATAATGCGCAGAAAAGGGAGCGGGAGTCAACCCACCGACATTGCGAATCTCCCTGACAATATTCTACTCGCTTCGAGGAAGGCCTGCATGGTTGCTTTAAACACTGGCGTTAATGACGGTATGGTAGAAGGCACGGTAGTAGAAACTCAACGAACGGAAGTCGCTACGCACTTTCTCGGGTTTCACAGCAGTGGAGCTGTGAAATATTTTTAAAGACGATAGTCTTTCTTGGGAACCTTTGACGCAAAAGTTTTGGTCTGTCTGTCTTTCTGTCTGTGTCTGTCTGTTTGTCTGTGCATTTGTCTGTTTATCCACTCTTATCGGCCTCGGGTACTTGAAACCGCCGACCCCATCTGCAGCGACCACCAATGTTGCTCAAGGTTGAGCACTCATGCTTGTGCAATTAAGAAATAAAGAGCAGTTATTGTGCATGTTTGGGGCACCATAACCACACGCATATATTCTGCATATGCATCTCAATAGAAAACACATACATAAGTAATTTTGAAGACCATAGCGCTTATCACGCTGCGCTTACCATGCAACGCTTGCACGAAATGAGGAGTGTTTCTAACGCTTTGCTAAGACGAGATGGTGTTGGCACCTACCCGTCGCCTCGCGTTCTGCGCCTGTTCACCTCTGAGACGGGTGCGCACGGCCACGCGCTTTGTTTTCCTAAAGAAATTGCCAGATGGCGCTCATGTCTCACGTGTGACGGGACTTGATGCGCTCGTTCGGCTCAGCTGCACGCTCTAGGCACTATAACGCAGCACCTCCGGAATACCATTCACCAATTTTCTTGCGCAGAATATTAAATAACTGTTTTGTTCACTCTCTTTACACGCAAGACTATTGTCTTTCGACGACATTTGCAGATAACATGCAGATACGGAGCCAATTGTTTTCAGGACATTCCTCGGCAAGCTTCCTTTTCTTGAGCTTTGTCCGGTGGAAGCTGGCGTGCGCAGTGTTGCCCGTGCACACTTCTCCCGTCGCCGCTGACGGCACGCTCTATTTGGATTCCAACAATGCTCAATAGATGGCGCGCTGCCGCCCACAGCAGCGACACGCCATCTCGGGGATCGGTTTGGACTACCACAGTGAATGGGCGTGTTTTTGAGCGCTTGCGATCGACTGCGCAGATAAGTTGTTTTGCATGTTTTGAGCTTGCCTTTATAATTATAAGACAGCAGTTAAAATTGCTGTAGCACTTATTTTATCGTACGGCTTTTTCGGGGGTCCGTCACCAGGTATTTATTTGTCTGTGCGTGTGTGTGTGTGTCGGAATTTTTGTTTTTTAGTTGTTTTTGCCACCCCACGGGGGAGGTGCACGTGCATTGAACACGCAAATTTTTGTAGGAGAGCTTAGACTTTCTCTTTTTCGTAGGGCAGGGCTCGAGCTTCGTAATTATCGAGTGAGACAAGTCATAGGGACAATTGGTGTGTAGGAAAGACATGGTTAAATAGACTAAATTAAGTGTTCAGGATGTGGGGTGGCTTTGAAAGTAGAGCCAAGTGTAGAAGCGGAAGGAGAAGAGGCTGACGCGAAGTGTAGGCAATGCGAGGTCGAGGAAAAAGTGGAAAACATGGTGGTTGCCCGGAGTGACCTGCTGATGAGAATCACCGAACAAGAGATTGCGTTGGCGACAAAGCAAGAGAATACGTGGGCTATGGAAGAAAGGCTGAAGTCCACTGAGGAAGCACTAGCCAAGGTTAACGGAGGAGCGGCCTACAGAGACAACAGTAGGGAACCGGCAACCAGAACAGCGGAAAAGAAAGAGCAAGCAAGTTTGGATAAAGCAGGTTCAGCCGGTTCAATTATCACAAGGCCCAGCTTCAGCGAAGTAGTGGTGGGGCTAGGAGGGGACAAAGCAGCCGGCGTCACAGGTGCAAGTAACCCCCAGGTGCAGGAAGCTCCAGCTGAAAAGTCACAGCATGTGATAATCGCAACGGACTCGAATTTAAATCGATGCACAGAAGCCGTCAAACAGAGGGTGAGAGGTGACAACAGGGTTGCAGTAGGGGCGTTCCGAGGACGCAAGCTGTAAGCAGTCATGAGGCAAGCGAGCACAAAACTCAAAACTACAGCTGATAGACGAAACCTCGTGATAATTTCAGGTGGTTTAAACGATGTCTTAAATGAAGATACAGCAGCACAAGCAACCACGCTGGAGAAAAGCGTCGATGACATGCGCGCCACTTCTCCTGAGGTACAGGTGGACGGGAGCAACTTGTGGACGGGAGTACTTGTGGACGAAAGCAAAGGCCAGAGAGGAAAACCAGGCAACGGTAGAGTGTATATCAAATGACATTCAGGAGTTAGGGGGAGAGTGCGAGAAGATAGGAGATATGAATGCGCACATAGAAGATATGGATGGGTATACCGACCCGACAAGCAAAATGATCATGGATATGTGTGAGAGGCTTGATTTAATCATTTGCAACAGTACCGAGAAGTGTGAAGGGCAAATAACATGGGAGGTAGGAAGGCTGCAGTCGACGATAGATTACGCACTGATGTCACATAGAATGTATGATAAGCTCAGGGGAAGGTACATTGATGAAGGTGGCTCCAGAAGTCTGGGTAGTGCTCACAAACGTATCGAAAAGTTTTGGAAGAGCAGTGAAAGTGGGAAGGAGACAAGATGAGCAACTACAGGAAAATTTTTATTCAGAAAGGCAAATTGAAATAGCCACTAAGCAAATTGAATCAGTAATCACTGAGGATAATAAAAAGTGTGGACATACACGAATCTAATTGGACTGTTAGAGCTAGAGCTTGCTAAGGCACGTGACAAGTCACCCCGGAAAAGAAGACACAAAGCCAAAAGTTGGTGGGATGAGGAAGTTAAGAGAGCCATAGCAAAACGTCAGGAAGCCTCTAGGGAACACAGACATGCTAGGCAGCGGGGTGAACCGACAGATGATGTTGAAAGAAAATGGGAAATCTTTCTAAGCTGTAGAAGAGAGACATCCCTTCTGATCAATTGAAAAGATTAGAAGGGAGCTCAGTGGCTGGCAGAAGTACATAAAAAGATAGAAAGGCAGCTGCGAAATTTCGGAACCATCTAAACTACTTAAAAATTAGACGAGCCTACAGCAGATGTTCATAACGACAGCTCAAGGTGCTAGGCTAGAGGGGACAAAGCAATTGAATATATAAGAACAAGGGTGACAGAAACGTTTGAACAAAGAGGTGCTTTATGCACCACAATTGACGAAGATGAATCAAGTGGCGTAATGGCTCCATTTTCATAACGAGAGTAGGAAAGGGCCGAGAAAAGGATTTCTAGTAGTACATCAACAGGCCAAGATGGCATTCCACGTATGCTCCTAAAAACATTAGGTCCGAAGTCTAACCAGGCTTTGAGAGAGGCAGTGACCAAAATAATAATCGATGGAGAAGTCCCAGATGGATGAAACTTAGCAGGATGAGCATGATATATAAAGGAAAGGGGGACAAAGCTGACATAAACCACTACCGTCTGATAACAGTGACATCAGTGATCTACAGGCTGGCAATGCAGATTAAAAAGGAAAGCCTGCAGGCGTGGATAAAGGATGAGGGAGTGCTGGGGGAACTGCAGAACGGGTTTCGGAAACACAGGTGGTTGGAAGACAATCAGTTCTCACTGACGCAGTGCATCAAGGGATATCAAGGGAGCGTACAAAAGCGTGGTTCAAGAGGTATTTAGGGACATACTGGACACACTAGGCATGGAAGATGTAGTCACCAATCTTTTTAAGGATATCTATAAAGGTAACAAGGTAGTTATAAAGTGGGAAAAACAGGTATCCAAACCTGCCAAGGTAAAATGGCGGCTTGGGCAGGGGTGTCTCCTGTCACCCTTATTATTCATGATGTACCTACAAGGATTAGAGGCCAAATTAGAGGGAAGTGGACTGGGCTTCAACCTCTCTTTCGTCAAACAAGGAAAACTCATTGAACAGGCACTACCAGCATTGATGTACGCAGATGATATAGTGCTAATGGCCATCAACAAGGAAGATTAGCAGAGATTGCTGGACATCTGCGGTAATGAAGGAGATAGGTTAGATTTCAGATTCCGTAAGAAAAAATCAGCAGTCATGATTTTTAATGACAATGAAGGTAGTGAGCTTAGAATACAGAAGGTCACGCTAGAGATAACAAATAAATACAAATATCTGGGCGTATTGATAAGCAATGGTGCCGAGTACCTAAGGGAACACAAAATATACGTGACGACTAAAGGTAACAGGAATGCAGTGGTAAAAAAAAACAGGGCACTGTGGACAATAGGTATGATGTTGCGAGAAGAATATGGAAAGGGGTCATGGTTCCTGGTCTGACGTTCGGCAATGCAGTCTTGTGCATGAGATCAGAAGTTCAAGCAAGATTAGAAACTGAGCAACGTGGAATAGGTAGGCTTGCCTTAGGAGCTCACGGGATTACACCAAATCAGGGAGCACAAGGTGATATGGGATGGACATCATTTGAGGGCAGGGAAGCTAGCAGCAAGATAAAATTTGAGAAGCGATTGAGGGAAATGGGGGAGGAGCGTTGGGCAAGGAAGGTTTTCAGTTACTTGTACATGAAGAATGTCGATACAAAATGGAGGAAGCGAACCAGAAAATTGACTGGTAATTACTTAGAAAACAGCAGGGGGCCAAACCAAAAAAAAATTATCAGTTAAGAAGAAATCGAAGGAAGCTGAGGCTGGCATGTGGAGTATTGGCATGATTAGAAAGTCCGCACTAGAATTCTATCAAACTTTTAAGCAGAAAATTGCCAAAGAAACGATCTATGATAAAACTCGGGGTAGTTCTGTACTGTTTGAGGCAAGAACGGGAGTATTGCGAACCAAGACATATCGGGCCAAATGCGAAGGGGTAGACACGGTATGCAGTGCGTGTGGAGAGGAAGAAGAAACTGTCGAACACTTGATAATGTTCTGCAAAGGGATTCAACCTATAGTTCAGGATGATGGCGTAGAGTTCTTCAAAGCACTGGGGTTTAGGGAAAGAAGGGCAAAATACACTTTAAGTAAAATTAGCTAGAAGGAGGTTATCTGATCGGTGGCTAAAGTCAAGGCATGAGTGAAAATAAGGTCCTTCAGTGCAAAGTACGAATCCTCAACCTCACCATTTAAAGAAAAAAAATAAATCTAGTTTTTGGTTCATTAAGTATTACGGCTTGGTGGCGCTAGCCACCGCCCAATCTAAAGGGAACAGCCATATCCATTCATCCATCCATCAATCCACCGGTTTTTCGCTGTACCGAGCTCACCCTTGGTCTTATGAACATGCCGTCCCTCAGCGCACACGTCCATGGCAGCGAACATTATCTCGTCCTGACCGAAGCCGACGTGCTCTTCTTCACAAATACATGAAACGGTGGAAACATGCTCATGAATGGGTTCGTTCCAGTCGTCTGCCCCAAAGAAATGAAGCGTCCTATGAGTGGTGTCAGGATCTACGTCAAGCTACCTGATGAAGCAGAAGATCTCGCGTTGCAATAACGTGCCAGAGCTACAACGGGGAGCACACCGCTGTGAAGCTCTCATCCGGGATAGCAATCGTGGCCTTCTACTTGGCACTGAATTTGTCAGAAGAAAAAGTCACGAAGTCTATAGAGAAATGAGTGCAACCATACATGACCGAGTTCATTCACGCTCTCTTCCTACTTGCCCGAGATGTGAACGTTGACATCATGCAAAGCGATTGGCTAGTCCAACACATGATGTCACTTTACGCTCTTGTATGCGTTTCGTACGACTGCAAACGTTCCACCACCTTCACGAGCGCCTGTATCGACTTCGCTGTCTCGAACTTTTTATTGCGCCCCATCATCGGTGATCCCTTGACGGCATACTTTAGTGACCATAAAGCAATCATGTTTAAAGAGAAAGGAGTCCCCGAGCTCATCGAGCGTCGTTCTGTTGTAACTTGCAACAGATCAATTGTAGATATAAAAGGTACTGATTGTCCATGAAAATCTTCACAGTGAACCAAGATATAAATTTATAATTATTGTATATGTAATGTATATATAACAACATTTTCATCTCTATATATGATGGTAGAAGATATGTGTGGATGCTTCGTGGGTTGCCCGATCATCTCCGAGCAACCTACTCTAACATTCACTTTCTTGAGGGCTAAATGCACGCCACGGCAACTAGCTCTACGACCGGCTGAAATAGGCAAAGTGAACGCACTGCAAGCACTCACGCGGTAATTCTGCTTCAAGCTGCGGCCAAGTCTGCTGCCCCGTAAAGGTACCCGTACACTGGCAAAAACCATGCGGTGGCAGAATCGCGCCCGTGGGTGCCTCAGAAAACAGCGGCTCGCTGTCTACACTGCCAGTGCGAATGTACCCTCAGTGAGTGAGCTATAAACTTTCATTGGTGCAGCAGAACGCGATTAAGCGCACACCTGGCTAAATGCACGACGGAACCGGCAAGTCAAGCGTACCAGCCCGATCACGGGCAAGGTGGGTCGCTCAGCGAAGCCCTGTGTTTAAAGACTTGTCTTCGCAGAAGTACGTTCCACGCTTAGATGAACTTTCGAACCCAACGACCCGCACATTCAAAGCATCTAAGCCTCCTTACAAGCCGCACAAAAGCAGTTTTGAACAAGAGCAAGAGCCATATAAGAAAACAACACATCTATAAGTGAACATACTTGGCGAACAAGAAGCCACCACTAGGAGCATAAATGCAACAGTTGCCGCTGTGTACCTACCCTCCATACGCATTTGTACAAGTTTTTAATGCGGTCAAATGTTTACTATAGGACGGTGGCCTATTCATGCTTGAAGCCATCGCGAAAGCGCGTTGTTGTTGTGTTTGTCTGTTTTTTTTAGTGAAGTGATACATTGAAGCACAATGGCCGTGGCATACAAAAAGGTAACAACACATAATGTTGCTCACAAAAGAAAGATTCCTGAAATTTGACCACTTTGATTACCATCAGTCATTGGCCAAAAACAATAAAAGTGCAAATAAATAGTCTACAGTAGTGTTATAATACACAAGAGTGTAACCTCTGACCGAAGTTTCTGACGCCTTAGTAAAAAACTACGTGCCTTTTAACAAGTCATGACAGAGCAAGCAACTTTTGATCCGGCATCCTGTTCTCGGCAATAAAGCAACCGCCTTGCTGTGAGCTGCTAAATATGCTACAGTTGATCAGTAATTACGGTGCTCGGCTGCGGATCAAAAGGCCGTCGTTTTATCTTAGAAGCGGCGATTGCAAATAGATGGAGGCTGAATGCTCTTGGTACATGCACTGTGCGACGTCAATACAGGTTATAGAACACGGGATCAAAATTTCTGGAGCCCCCAACTACTACCTCTCTTATAATCATATGGTGGTTTTAGGACATAAAATGCCAAACATCATGATGATTTACTCTTTGAACAATTACCCACCTCCACTTAATTATTAGAAGTTTTTACAGCTGCATCGTGCAGTCGTCTTTGTCCCACTTTATTCACTTCACGACATGCGCTAGGCCTTCCCGGCCAGTGGAAAGGGTTGGAAGGACGTCCTGTATTGTTTACCTAAAAACGGCACGACACAGAAGACTAAAAGGCCTCTTAACCACACGAAACGTATTTGCGTCTTGTGTGTTGTGCGGTTCTTAAACAATGCACGCATAACAAACAATGCAATCGCGCTAGGTCTAGTATGCCCTCACTTTTAATGAAATAAAATTGCGGGATCCGTTCAGGCAAGGCACATATTTACGGTGGCCATACTCACCTCTGTTGTCAGAGTGGCAGCTAACTCCTGTGGATGCCGTATGAAATCAAAAGTAGGCAGCGGCGAGTTTCGAACCATCACTGGATAATTCTGCAGATACTGTGATACCGGTGGTGGTGTCAGAGTGGACGAGCGGTATTGCACGTGACCGGACTGGCCAGTGCTGTCAGACAGCGTCGCAGGCGGTTGAGGCGCCACACCTACCATGAGTATATCCAGGACCACGGGGGGAGGGCTACTGTTGGGTACAAAGACAGCATAACAAACACAAAACTTTGGTGTCTGTATTGAACCGAAATCATAGAGAAATGAGAAATAACAGTGATGAACCTAATTAGCACATTCATTCACTTCATCATAGAATATGCGGAGAAGTTGATATTGCTGTAGCAGATAACGTATCCTTGTATAGTTAGTTATCAGGCACGCCGCGAGGAAATGCACAATATATTTCGAACACTTAATTTTGATGCGCGCAGAAATCTAGATGCACTTTTATTTTGTGAGATTTCACGTCCCAAAACCACGATTTGATTATGAGAGACGCCGTAGTGGAGGGCTCCGGAAATTTTGACCACCTGGGGTTCTTTAACGTGCACCCAAAGCTGAGTACACGGGCCAATCTAGATGCACTGTCTTCCAGCGTTCCCCCTCCCTTGCATTGAGACAGGTGCAGCTGTCATCGAACTAGCGACTTTCGGTTCACCAGCTGGGCGACGTAACCGCTGTACCGACGCGGCAGTATTGGCACAGTATTCGCAGTACACTTGAGGATTCACACAAAAATTATCGCAAAGTTTGGGCAATGACTGTCGGTCGACTGAGGTGCATTTCGAGTTTCTTTAGCTTCCGATGGCCATTGTCACTACGTTCTGACACAGTGGAACATTCTGGTGAAGTTATTGACCCAGAACGCTATTTGACAACAGATAAGAGTGAAAAAATTGCTGCAATTTCTTCGAATGCAGTTCTTTTTGCATTGTTTGCATGCGTGAGAATGCCATTTCGTCAATTTTAAAAAGGAAATTGTCATGTATATGTGCGATATTCAATAAGCATGTGGCTTGACGTCCTGATATGGTCATACATTATGATGAATGCTGCATTTGAGGGCTCCGAAAATTTCTATTGCCTGTGATTTTAATTTTACATGCACCTAAATCTCTGTACACAAGCCTCAGTTTTTGGCGCGCCCACCAAATTTTCCGCGACGCAGCGGCCTTCAGGTTACCAATCTAGTCGAATACAATATATACATGTTTCTTTTTAAAGATATTTAACTTTTTCTTCTGAGTCACAGTGCTTCTCGTTTAGTCCTCATTCAGATCTCTACATGAACAAAAACGGCAGGATCGTAAGCCCACTGACTGCCAGTTACAGCTTCCCAGTGCGTCACGCACCAGTGTCCATTAGGCCAGTTTTCTACTTGTTCAATAACCATGTTAGCATTCGCACAGTGTCGCTTGCTCTTTCAGTAGGGCTGGTAGGTTTCCTATGCCGAAACTAATTTCAAAAACGGTGTGTCGAAATTGTCAGGAACGTTTTTGGAGCACACCAACATAAGCCTGACGGCGCTCTTCAATAACAGAAAAGGCCTTCTCTGCCTGCAGAGCAGCACCGCGAATCTGTGCAATATACTAAGAGCAATTTCAGCTGAATACACGTTGCCTTAATGGCTGCAGCTCACCACAGACACTCTGTTTGGCAGTATAAATTTGTCATTCTTGTGTTTACAACGCAAAGATGATCTACGCAACTATGTTTTCACGGGGATTAGGTATTGTTGTAATCAATGTAGGTAGCGGCAAAAAATTAAACGTAAATGGTGCGTGAACTTTCGAACCTTCATCAAAGTAGGCATATTTCATATTGATTGATTGATATGTGGGGTTTACTGTCCCAAAACCACCTCATGATTATGAGAGACTACGTAGTCGAGGGCTCCGGCTATTTCGGCTACCTGGGGTTCCCTTAACGTGCACCCAAATCTGAGCACACGGGCCTACAGCATTTCCGCCTCTATCGGAAATGTGGCCGCCGCAGCCGGGAATCGAACCTGCGACCTGCAGGTAAGCAGCCGAGTACCTTAGCCACTAGACCACAGCGGCGGGGCCACGTCGCCTGTTTTATCAAATCGCTCAAACCTCTGTGTACATCGCTGCAGCTTTCCAGAGTGGGCTCTAGCAATCGTTTAATTTCATTTTGCTGCATATCCCTGCAGAGGATCACTTTGCTAGATACCTTACCATGTTCAACAATTCTTAGACGTCCCGCGTTGCGAAACCAGCACGGAAAGTTTTTCTACTCTCGCAACAAATAACACCGAAAAATAAAGTGTGTATGCGTTTCGGTGCAAACAGTTTATTCTTCTTATGCAGGCTTTGAAGCTGACTGATAGCAAGACTATTAGATAGTTACTTACACACTGATTACCTTTTAGTAACTCTCACAAAACAACAAATTCCTTAATTTTCTTCCTTGGAATGTAATACTTGGTCACCCTGAAATTATGCGATGCAATTTTTTCGCGTTTCTGTCTGACCTTCCCAATTCGTGGCTGAAGGTGCTATACTGGTGCCTTTGTTTTGTCGTAACAGCGAGTAGTCGCGAATAAGGTACGGGGTGGACGCTCAGAAAAGATAGATGAATGACAACTGCGATTATAAAGATGGCCATCAGTAATCAAAGACAGCGAGGAAATTGAGATATCAGCTGCGTCATGCCAGCTTTGTCAACGTGCCAAGTGTCATCCACCAGAGAAAAAAAAAAACGCCCGCATCTTCCCACAGGGAAACTCGAGTTAATGCGTCGCAGAGTGGTGGCAGAATCGCGTAAACTGCACATCGGATCAACGTTGCGTAATTGTGTATGATTTGGGACGCCTAACTCTTATTTCCTCTTTATTGTTCTTACTTATTGAATAAAGGAGAGCGTTGCCTTCAAGTAGTAGTGGGATGCTGAGGCGCAATCCAGTGCCTACATACACGGGGTAGCCAGTGAACGGTTGTGCAGCGCGAGCTGTCGGTTTTTTTAGCACACGTTATATGGGACAGCTTTGCGAGGCGTCCGAGGAGGGGGGGGGCGTGCGACAGTTACCACGAGACATGAGGTGTGAGCTTGTTCATTGGGCTTGCCGACGCCGTCTTTGAGGGCGGATTTGCGAGTAAGTGGGACCATAAAATACTCCGCCTTTAAGGGATAACCGCTATATCAACAAGGAGAATGATATGTTGGAGGGGCTCGCTCGGAGGTTTACGGGGCGTTTATTGGTGAGACCTATGTTATGTGAAGGCTTGTTAACGAACCGGGGCATGATGTGTACGCCGATACAACATTGTTAGGCGCATTTCGCCGCCTGCACTGCAGGGTGTAAGCCACGACTATCGGAATGTTGACCACCTGCCCCTTTAATCTATACTGAGTACTGCCGCGAGTCTAATGCCCAACACTTATAAAAGGCTGACGTGGAGATATCAGACGTTTTTGAACAGCTTTCAGAGCAGGCATGTGGGGTTCTTGAGAGGATATCAGTACCTGTGCTTAACACTTATCGCAGAAACTTTCACCGTGCTGCCGTACCTACCAAGCGACAAGAACAAAATGGATGTAGTGGTGAGAAGGCGAGCACACGGGCTATCGAAAACCGATGCCTTGTAGGATGCCTAGATGTCCTGCTCCTGGAAATAGTGGAGACAGTGCTTTTGTAGACGCTATGTCGGTACAAAAGTTCGCGTTCCCTTGATTGATATGTGGGATTTAACGTCCCGAAACCACCATTTGGTTATGAGACACGCCGTAGTCGAGGGCTCCGAAAATTTCGACCACCGGGGGTTATTTAACGTGCACCCAAATCTGAGCACACGGGCCTACAACATTTCGGCCTCCATCGGAAATGCAGCCGCCGCAGCCGGGATTCGAACCCGCGACTTGCGGGTCAGCAGCCGAGTACCTTAGCCACTAGACCACCGCGGCGGGGCAAGTTCGCGTTTGCTATCATTGGCTGTAATGCAGGGAGATATTGCTTTCAGCGAAACTTGCGGTAATTTTGCTCAGCCTATCCCTTCTGATGGTTGGGCTTGCACATGTAATGTTGGTGACAAATAGGATAGGTACTAATTAATACGCACGAACATTTGATGGCAATTTAAATGCATTTAGAGCATATTATAAGTCTGGCTATCTCACTGGCTACGTAGGTTTTGTGCTTTCATGGCTGATTCACTTTACAAGTACAAGAATTGACGTGACATGACAAGAGCATGTAATAAACAAACGACTGCTCATTGCATGAGTATCATGACATCCTTTCAAGTTGCGTCATGTTATACGTGACATAGTCAAGTGGCTAGAACGGCTCTTTGGTTAACATCGTGTAATCTAAAGCTGACATGGTATAAGGAAAATATACATCACTGGCCATAACATCAGAACCTTGTCATGCGTGCCATAGAGTCCATGACATACATGACCCTGTAATAGAGCTCTTACAACGGCTTTATTAAGTTGACGCTTACCGGAACTGACACAGCATAATAGGTGAGTTTGCATGGCTAACAAGCATGACTGGTCATAACACGGGAATCATATTCTGTATATCATGTCTGTCATGACACACATGACCCAGTCAATATTAACGGTTTTATTATTGGTATATACACAAAAATACAGAGGGCATGATAACGTCGTAAGATGAAAAAGAACTGCTCATAACAACAAGCCATGCATGTCATGTACGCCATGATATACAACTCTGTTATGGGCCTGTACAGGCGGTTTGATTATTTTGTGTACGATAATTCACAAGGCTATATATGCAATTATGAATACCATGAATAGTTTATTATAACACGAAAACTCTGTCTTGCTTGTCATGAAGGCTATGACATATTATTAAGAGGCAGTCTGGCATAATCTCAACATCGCAGACGAATGGACGAAAGTGAAGCGCATTTGCCACGCGAGATGCTGGACGCCTTTGGGTGACGGGCACTTTAAATATTTGAATTATAATCGGTTTAGTCTTCCGTGTTATCGCCGTCGTCGTGACAAATTGCTGGATGTACGGGGTAAACAACGCGCTATACAACGGAGCGCGGCAATGGTTGTCAAAGTGAATTTTCCGTTATAGAACATGGGACTGATCCATGGCCACTTCCGCATCTGCCTTGTCAAAACCTGCCACGGCCACGGCAACGCCTGCACCAGCTACAACACTACCCACGTAAGTTCTGACGTATC